GGGGGGGGGGGGGGGGGGGAGTTCCCAAAGACCATTTAAAGGAGACCATAACCTATCCCTCAACCAATGTGGGACTCTAACATACATAATTTATTTATGAGTTTGAAATACTGAGTTTTCATTGAAAGGTCTTATCTTTTAGTTAGAGATAGTCTTATCTTTAGTTAGGGAATTAGGTTTTTTGACTTGTGCAGTGTTTCCTATTATATAAATAGGATCCTTCTGTCGAGAGACTATAATAATAGTCTATAAATTGATTGGCTATTAGAATACTTCAGTCTATCATCTTCTTTGAGAAGGATTTTTTTTTTTTTGTTGAGAATTTTCAATTTATCCCCTTCTTCCTGCTCCGTTCTCGCTCTCCCCCCCCCCACCCCCCACCCGACCCGGTTCTACTCACATTTTCTCTTTTTCTCATTCCTTCCCCTGATTTTCCATCTTCTATTTGGTGCTACATCAACGATTACTAGGAAAAGACAAAAAAACCAGATAAGAGTCCCTCAAAGAAACGAAGCAAAGGTTTGCTCAATATGACTATGCATGCAAAAGGAAAATAGCTCAAGTTGCATGGAACTTAGACCGAATGCAGGTAAGGTAACTCCAGAGTACACTAAAATTTCACATTTATCCAAAATGAGATTGAATAAAGACGCTCATTACCTGAGAGTAGACATAATCCACAGTACTTCGTAATTGTGTAACCTGCCAAATTTCTCAGGCTGTGAGTTAAGAATCAACAGCAACCCAGGGAGAAAAAAGGAGGAAGCAAGCAAAGCTACAAACTCCTGTTAAAACTTTTCATTTGTTCCAACAGCATACAGAACACGAAAGTTAAAAGCTGTCAGAAGCAGAAACGACCCACACCAATTAGCCTTGGGTATAAAAGTATCTGACCTACTCAACTTCAATTTGTAGAATCCATTATTATAAGTATCCAAGAGAAAAATATGTTAAAAGTCACTGAATCATATCCTCTCGTTTATAAAAATACCAAACTCCCTATAAAAGTAATTGGTTTTATCTGGACAAGCCTGCATGAAGCCTGCCTTACTCAAGACAACCTCAGTAGAAGAAGCATTCCGACAGTGAACAGATGTTTTATGTGCCAGGAGGAATCTGAGAATGTGAGACATCTGTTTCTTCAATGCACGGTAGCAGCTGACATATGGAACATGTTTTTATCAGTTTTTGGACTTGCTTGGGTCATGCCTTGCAGTATCAAGGATGCTTACGAGAGCTGGTGCTCATGGAGAGTTGGGAAATCCATCAAAAAAACTTGGCAAATGGTGCCTGCTACAATTTTTTGGTGCATCTGGAATGAGAGAAATCGCAGATGTTTTGATGGGATTTCAACTCCTAATCACTCTCTTAAAGCAACTTGTCTAGTCAATTTATTTACTTGGTTAAACCAGGCCCCTGTAACTAGCTTTGAATCTTTTTGGGATTGTGTATGCTCATTAGTTATGTAAGTTTTTGTATATGAGCAGCCACACTTTTGTTGTATATTTTTGCTATGCATCTTCTTGATGCCATTTAATGAAATTATCTTACTTCATCAAAAAAAAAATACTGAGTTGCAATGCATAAAGGTGTAAGCATCTTTCTTTTTGGGGGGGGGGGGGGGGGGGGACTAGTAAGGTGTTCACATCTGTTTTTATATCCATATCTTCCCTTTTTTCTTCTGATAAGAACTTATATATCCATATCTTCTTTCACCTTGATTCCCGTTCCCCCCTGTCTATAATATATGATTTTAATCAATACAAGCAAGTATCCAAAGCTCTCCACTCTATTCTATCCTCCTTATCTCCCACACTTTAGTAACTATGTATAAATCCTTTGGACGAACTCCACCACTTCTTCTCATTCCCAATACTAGGTGGCTCTTTCGAAAATAATTCCTGGAATATTTTCTACATATTTCTCGTGATAAACTCAAATATATTACTCAATCTATCGTTAGAAATGGAAAACACACGAGGATATGCATGCTTCAAGGTCTCCAGACAACTTATCCAACCAAAAATGTATATGGTAGTCCTACCCAACATTTTTTCAATAAGGGCCATTGTCCTGACAATGAGCCTGATGAACTTTGTAAAATCATGTTTTTTCCATCATAATCTCTTTCCACAAACTTACACCATGAGAATTCGTACCGTCATTTGAAAATCTTCATCTTCCATTGCCTCATATTCTGTGTTTAGCCACAATCACTATTCTCGATAATGTCTCTATGTGCAAGAACCAGTTTCCCTATTAGTGCCAAAATAAAAATATCTCAGCTCTTTATCACTAATCCTTCCCCCCTCCAAAGAGAGACACTTTCCTCTCCACCATAAATCACATGTTTCCTTAATTCTTCCAAGATTTCAAAGAGATTACCTTAGAGTTACGTGGATTTAATGGGGTAAAAATAATGCCTAACCTCCTTGGCTCCTAACCGAGTAATGAACGTGTCATTCTGTTTACAAAATTAAGTAATGGACAATTATGCTTATTGCAAATCGGGGCACCAGTACTATATGCGGTAGGACTCTCTGCTTTTACAGAAGTTCATAAACAGTAGATAATTTGAGGATTTGCCTAAGCCAATTCTTAAACTGAATTTCATTGTTCGAGATAACTCCTTTGGTAACAAAGTACATTTAGCCCTCTGCAAGACTTGATTTCTGTTGTATCTTCCTTTCCATTCAATAGTCCCTTTAGGACTTCAGAAAATTTACAAGTTATTGAGCACACACACACCCACACAACCCCCCCCCCGCCCCTAAAAAAAAACGAAAGAAAAAGAATTAACAGAATGATCGCCGTTCCCTAAGCTGCAGCACATCAGCTCGTTAGCAAATACATCACTGTGTTTTCTGAATAGATAAACAATCATATTGGCGGAATTACTGCTAATTTTGAAATCAAGCAAGGCATAAATTTACTTATAACTGATCCTAAAACATAGCTAACCTAAATATCCCAATCTTCTTTCCTTCCCAGTTTGATCAATCATAAACTTTGGTTCTTCCACCCCCACCTAAAATATCAACTCACACAACAATAAACGCAACCCCATTTGCCCTATATGCCCAATTTATTGCATTATCTCAATATTACTCAATAAAGCACAGAACTTTACACAAAACCACTGAATTTCACCAATACCCAAATACAAATTAATGAAAAAAAGTATCAAAAGCATAAAAGTGACATGGTTAAGAACTTACAGCAAAGGTGGTGGCAGTAGCTCCAATTAACGCAAAAACAAAAATACCCCAAAGTCTCATCTCCTCTTTTTCTTCGTAATGTTTTTCGCCATTGTCTTTACCGGCTTTTTCATTACCCATTTTTTGATTAGCTTTGACAAAATTCACCCCAAAATTGTGATCACTGAAATAAACAGCAAAAAGAGCCGACGAAACATGCTATGTCCATAACAGAATCCAAAACCTTTGATGTTTTTCTTCTACGCCGACTTCAGATGAAAACTGAAATTGTTTCTTCTTTTTTCTTTCAATTTCTGTTTTTATTCTATGCGTGTGGTTTTAATTGGTTGTGTTAAATCCCAGCGACCCGCTAGTGCTCGTCGGACCTTTTCCGGGTCAACTGTATTAATTCTCTTTCTTTCCTTAATGTAAAAGTAAAAGTAACAAAGTTGGACTTTTGTTTTGCTACTGTTGGTCTTTATGCTCAAAAATTTATTTATTACGAGTAGTCCAAAGGTGCCAAAGACTTGTAGCTAAAAAAGTTTTAGAGTTCACTTAGCTTTTTCAACCAATGGATAGGGGTAGAATTTGGTGGTATATTTTTGGTTATTTTTTGTAAACGAATGACATCCCAGTAATGTTCTGCACAAGAGCAGTGGAGAAGAATATGACTTATCGATTCATGGCTAGCATGGCATTTTGAGCAAATGGAACTTATTGGAATGCCTATGTAATTTAGATATTGTAGGGCCGGTAGTCTGTTATGGAGAACCAACCATAAGAAGTTCTAATCTTTGGTTGCACAGGCAGTTTCCATAACCATTTGAAATCAATGCAAGAGGCAATTGAGTAATTGCTATTATCAATAAGTTCTTTGTACATTGTTTGCACAGTGAAATTTTTATTAGTCGTTAGGCCCCATTGGAGTTGATCATGTTGTTGAGCATAGATGGATATATATTGCCTATTTATAATTGTTGCTATCTCATTAGGAATTTCAAAACTGAAATTCTTCCAGTCCCAAGTATTATTATTAAGAATAGTAGAAACTGTGTGAGTGTCATGTGATTTAGGTAATGGGCCTATAAGCATGGACCTTAGAGTTGTACCCGTCCTAAGCCATGTGTTATTTATCTGTATTGCTGTAAGTAAATAAAACAGTAATCTTTCTAAAAAATAAAACAGAAAGTTAGTAGAAACAATTCTGAAAAATAATATTCGAACTTCAAAATAATTTTTGAAACGTTGAAGGAACAAATCGAGCCCACTGAATACACAGTGTGTCCTTAAGAAAATTATTCCCCTCAAGTACCCGAGGTTATGGAATATATCCTCCCAGGATAGAACGATTTAACTCACCGGAGTGTTGGTACCAAAAACGCCGATGATCAGCGAACCACTCGATGGCAGCAAAACACACTGGATTTTTAGTGCAGAAGAAGAAGATAATCAGAAAATTTCGTAAGTAAATATTCTGGGATTTGAAGGTCTATTTATAGCCAACTTGGTGATGTTTCTGAAGAGGTTTGCAACCTTTCAGAACAGTCATGGCTGTTGGAACAGGTGTGACCCTCTGAAGAGGTTTGCAACCTTTCAGAACAGTCATGGCTGTTGGAACAGGTGTGACCCTCTGAAGAGGTTTGCAACTTTTCATAATAGTCATGGCTGTTGGAACAGTGACACTGTTTCAGAACAGTCATGGCTGTTGGAAATTTTTGCGGGAAATTTAAAACGAATTTAAATTAATCCGAGAAAGAAAAACGGGCTAGACCGGACCGGGTTGCGGGTCATCCCTCCATTTCTTTTCCCACTATTTTCCATTCACACCTCTTTTGTTATTATTTATTAAATAACAAACTCAACAATCCCCCACATGAATGGGGAATGGCTATAAACTTAAAGGAATGCACGGACGTGTATGTGTTTTACAAACAAGAATTGATTGCATCTGGATAAGTAGGTTTCCCTTTGAACTTTCCGTAGTGAACTTATATCGGATATACTCGGTCAATCGGTAGATTTGATATCTTTGAACCGTCGAGCTTTGTTGTATACCTAGACAACATAAGTCACACAATCAATCCTTAACCATCTATGGTTCTCACGGTTGTGTTCGTTTCAGCCATGAACACCGCCTGGTTTCATGAGTGCTTAGAGAATGGGCCTTTACTTTCATTCTCCTTGAAGCGGCTTACACTTCACACTCACATAGGTGATTCCTAAACGTGTAATCCTAAAGACACACTATCTGGTCATATCCTGCCAGACTTAGCAAATCATTAAAAAGCTTTAAGCTTTATTGACTCATCAAAAAAGCCTTAATGCTTTACCTCATTTTTTGAACATTGTCTTCATCACGAGAATGGGTTGAGTTAGTTGACAATGTTGAACCGTCATTCATAACTTTGTTTGATCTCTTTGAACCTAGCTCTTGGGATCTCCAGTCTGCTAGGTAGAGTTACCGCCATGATGACTTGTCCTAGGGCTTTAACCCCATTCCCTTTGATGATCTTTCAACCGCCTCTCTAGATAGGCCTTTTGTAAGTGGATCCGACACGTTATCTCTTGGCTTTACGTAGTCAATTGTGATAACACCACTAGAGAGTAGTTGTCTAACGGTATTGTGTCTCCGTCGAATATGACGAGATTTCCCGTTATACATAACGCTTCCTGCCCTACCTATTGCCGCTTGACTATTACAATGTATACATATAGGTGCCAAAGGTTTGGGCCAAAATGGAATATCTTCCAAGAAATTCTGGAGCCATTCAGCTTCTTCACCGGCCTTATCTAAGGCTATAAACTCAGCCTCCACTGTAGAGCGGTCAATGCACATTTGTTTGGACGATTTCCAAGACATCGCTCATCCACCGACTGTTTAGAATCGGTTGAACCAGTGATCTAATTTGCATCACTATACCCCTCTATTATCGTGGGATACTTATTGTAGTGCAAAGCATAATTTGGAGTATATTTCAAATACTTCAAAATTCGTTTCATTGTCATGAATGTTCAATGCAAACTTCCTTATGTTGTAGACTAATACGTCTCGATTTTCGATTGCATATCAGATTATTGACTACACTTAATGTAGTAATTATAACAACAGCTGGAATGATTGGCATCAGTTGTGGCCATAACCTTTTAATATATAACACATTTCGTAATCATTCCGCCATTTTCAAGCATTTGTATGCTATTCATTCATATGTCTATATGATATGCAAATTATAGCACCTCCATTCATGAAACAAATCCAACTTGCAATGGATTTTGGTCATGTTCATCGGTTAGTTCACCTCATTATAGACCAACGTATTAATATATTCGTTCATGAACGGTCATGTCTATACAGACGTATCTTTCTATGAAAAGTCACAACCTTCAAAGTGACATCATTTCATAAAAGAACTAAACAATATAAATTTTCATTAAAGAAAATGACCTTTCGAGAAAGGCATGTGACCAACTTCCGAATTAGTAGTTTCATCAACTAGTCTTTATTAAGACTAAACAACTGATGATTTTACCAACTACTATATCAATGGAGTTCAAAAATTATATAATTTAGACATTACGTCTAACATTGGCTTTTGTCATGCATAAGCTAAAAGCCCCCACATTTTAAATATTTCATCAACATATCATATATAATCAAATAATGACTATATGATTTGAAGTATTCTTAACGTAAACACATTTGTTTACACTCATTAATTTTTGAAACCATTTGACAATATTATTTGGTCAAATCTCGCATGTCATTGTTTACTAAACAATTTATCCAAACGTTATGACTTTCCCGGTTTCTCGGCCGGAGGAACAGCAGTGCGGCTTGACGAGGCTATCGTCGTTTGCACCAACAATCGCAGAAGGAATTCCATTCTCATTTGCCATTTCTTACAATGAACAACAGAAGAGATCAATTAATGGCAAAACCAAAACAGTAAATAATACTCTAATCAATAAACAGTATGTAATAAAAACAACTAAGGTTTTTATATACTGTTTTACAGAAAAACGATGAAGTTTTTATGTTCTTCAAATCATTTTCTGAATTTCAATATCCTGATGAAGTTTTTATATCTTCAAATCAGAATAGTAAAATTCAGACAAAATACAGAATATAATAAATTTAATTTCCTTAAGATTGTTATTTATCTGTATTGTTGTAAGTAAATAAAACAGTAATCTTTCTGAAAAATAAAACAGAAAGTTAGTAGAAACAATTCTGAAAAATAATATTAGAACTTCAAAATAATTTTTGAAACGTTGAAGGAATAAATCGAGCACACTGAATACATAGTATGTCCTTAAGGAAATTATTCCCCTCAAGTACCCGAGGTTATGGAATATATCCTCCCAGGATAGAACGATTTAACTCACCGGAGTGTTGGTACCAAAAACGCCGATGATCAGCGAACCACTCGATGGCAGCAAAACACACTGGAATTTTAGTGCAGAAGAAGAAAAAGATAATCAGAAAATTTCGTAAGTAAATATTCTGGGATTTGAAGGTCTATTTATAGCCAACTTGGTGATGTTTCTGAAGAGGTTTGCAACCTTTCAGAATAGTCATGGCTGTTGGAACAGGTGTGACCCTCTAAAGAGGTTTGCAACCTTTCAGAACAGTCATGGCTGTTGGAATAGGTGTGACCCTCTGAAGAGGTTTGCAACTTTTCAGAATAGTCATGGCTGTTGGAACAGGTGTGACACTGTTTCAGAACAGCCATGGCTGTTGGAAATTTTTGCGGGAAATTTAAAACGAATTTAAATTAATCCGGGAAAGAAAAACAGGTTAGACCGGACCGGGTTGCGGGTCATCCCTTCATTTCTTTTCCCACCATTTTCCATTCACACCTCTTTTGTTATTATTTATTAAATAACAAACCCAACAGGTCAGACCATAGGTTAATGTGAGTCCCTGCTCCTAACCTCCAGTAGATACCCCGTTGACAGTGATGCCAACCCTTGATTATATTACGCCATGTTAAAGAAGCAGCATAGCCATGTTTTTGATGAACGTATTTATTAAGAAGGGTCATTGCCCAAAGAGTTCCTGGATTATTAAAAATTCTCCAGGCTAAGCTTGCAAGCAATGCATAATTTTTAGTACGCAAGTTTTGGATCCCTAAACCTCCTTGTATTGTAGGTGTTGTAATTTGCTCCCACTTTAGAAGATGCAATCGCTTTCTTGTGTCAGTAGTACCCCAAAGAAAGTTCTTTTGATAACGATTTAGTTTACTAATGACAGTGCTCGGTATATGAACATATTGTATGATATGATTAGGAAGAGAGTTTAGAGTTGACTTAATAAGAGTGGTTCTTCCTGCTAGAGTTAAAAACTTAGTTTTCCAGCCCGCTAATCTATTTTTAAAATTGTCTAGCAGGAATTGGAAGTCACTGTTTCGAGGTCGTCCATTAAAAATTGGAAATCCCAAATATTTTCCAAATGATTGACCCTCCTTTATTGCAAAAGATTGTAGCAAAAAACTTTTATTGGAAAGGGAGCAGTTTTTTGAGAAAAATATTTTTGATTTCTCAAAATTAATTTGTTGACCAGAAATGTGATTGAAGCAATTAAGAACATCAATAAATGCATGACAGCTTTGAGTAGTGACTTTTGATAGCAATTTTATATCATCCGCAAAGAAAAGGTGTGAAAGATCGGGACCTCTTTTAGAAATTCTAATAGGTTGCCAATTTAGGTAGTCTACTGATTGATTAATCATACGAGAGAGCATTTTCATACACATTATGAATAAGTATGGAGATAAAGGATCCCCTTGTCGAATTCCTCGCGAAGGATTGAAATACGAAGTACGAGTTCCATTAATAAGAATTGATGTAGAAGTAGTTGTAACACACGACATTATTAACTCCGTGAGGGAATTTGGTATTATATTAAAATATAGAAGAGTTTTCCTTATGAAGGATCACTCTAACCGATCAAAAGCCTTTTCAAGGTCTAGTTTTAGAAGCATGTAGCTTGACTTGCCCTTCATTTTATGAAGATGGTTAATAATTTCCTGAACTATTATAGCATTGTCAAAAGCTCTTTTCCCTTGCTGAAAGCTAGATTGGGTCGTTCCTATGATCTTATAGAGTAAAGGCTTAAGCCTATTAACAATTATTTTAGTAATTAACTTATAAGTAGTATTGCACAAACTAATAGGCCTATATTGCTGAATAGTGTATGCATGCTTGGCCTTTGGGATAAGGCAAATACAAGTATGATTAAGGTCAGCGGGAATAAACTTATTAGTGAAGAATCGTTCCAATATTTGAGATAGAAGAACGGATGTAGACCATCCGGACCAGGTGCCTTATAAGGTTTGAATCCCTTCAGGGCTTGAGTAATTTCAATATCTGTAGGAATAGCTTGAAGGGGCAACCTGAACATTAGAGGTGGAGAGTATATGATCTGTGGCAAATAAATGTTGATAGTAATCAAATATTTGCCTATGAATGTCATTAGTGTTAAAAGTCCAATTGCCCACTGTATCTTGTAAGGCAGTAATTCTATTTTTTCTTCTTCGCTGAAGAGTAGTCATATGGAAAAAACTTAGTAGTTGTATCTCCCTCGTTTAGCCAATTTACCCTAGATTTAAGCTTCCAAAAATCTTCTTCTAATCGAAGAATGTTACTGTAATCAAGAGTTAGTTGGTGTTGTAGATTTTGAAGGAAAGTACTCGTAGGGTAGTGAACAAAAGATTGAATACCCATAAGTCTAGCTAGCAACTTGCGTTTACGGGAGAATATATTTCCAAAAGTATACTTATTCCAGTGAATAGCAGCCTCTTGGAAATGCTTAGTGGTGTTTAGGAGATCTTCATTAGTATCCCAAATTTGATGTACTAACTGATGGAATTGAGGATGTGTTGTCCAAACTGTTTCAAACCGGTATATTTTCTTATAAAAAGGTCGTCTAGATTCTAATGTTAATAATAGAGGACAGTGATCCGAGTAAGTACGAGGTAAGTGATGAACCGATGCCTCAGGATATAGATTAAGCCATTCATAATTTGCGAAAATACGGTCTAGGCGTTCTAAAATTGTATGTCCATTACGACGTTTATTGGTCCAAGTGTACCGCTACCCCTAAACCCTAAATCCAACAAGTTACAATTATTAATAAAATTATTAAACTTATCCGCTCTATTATTACTTATGGGCAGGCCTCCAAACTTTTCCCGTGCATTAAGTAATTCATTAAAGTCCCCCCTATCAACCAAGGACCAATAACATAATTTTCCTTAAAATAACACAAGTTATCCCATAAAGTAGTTCTACTAGTATAATAATTAGAAGCATAAATCGCAGATAATAGCCATTTTGGAGTCAAAGGGCATACCTGGACAACACAGTGGATTTCCTGCTCAGACATTCTTATTTCTTCCACATTAATGAGTGTATCATGCCATAACGCCACTAACCCACCTATGAGTCCATTGGCAGGTACCTGTGACATGTTTGTAAACTGAAAATTATCTCGAAGAACAGTGTGATCTTGCATGTGTGTCTCCAATAGTATTACCAAAGCTGGCCTATTATTGTCTAGTAAAGACCTAAAATGTCTCCGAAACTTAGCATTGTGAGATCCCCTGCAATTCCAAATGACAAAACTCATACAATTAGGAGAAAAAGTGACCATTTCAGTTGGAACCGGAATCTGTTGAGTGACAGCCCCCATGGCTGGCAGCCCCTAATTCTCTATCACACGAGTCGTTTGAAGAGTCGGAATGATGACCATGGCATACTTCCCTTCCTCTTGGTTTGCCATCAACCTAAAATTGAGACTGCATGTGACTAACTCTGGGGGGCATTTCAGTATGATCTTTTTTTCGTACTGCTCTTTTAGGTTGGAGAGTTGAATGCCCTTTAGCCACAAGTAATCCGTGCGTGTTTCCCTCATCTCTGCCAATATTGCCCTTAGCTCCTGATCTGTTTGCATGTCTAGTTCGTTTGGAGATTGGGGTGGTGATGGAGAAGGACTCACTTGTTGATTCAGTAAGTCGTTTGGACTGAATGGAGTCGAGTATGGGGACCAAGGGTTGAAAGAGTCGATCGGCTGGAACCAAGGTGCATATATTTGACCCCAATGATGTGGTGGATAGAACGGGAGTAGGTTCATCTGGGGGTTGACAAATGGGGTCGGTGGGTGCATGGGATATGCCCACTGTGGCTGTTGGGATGTTGATGCTTGGTGGTCCACTAGCAATGGAGTTTGAGTCGTGTACCACTGCGTTTGAGCGTAAGCCTCCATGTTTTGGCGAATTTGTTGTCTGAAATAGCTGTTGTAGTTGGTGTTGGTGAAGTTTGGACGCTGTATGATCTTTGGATGGAAAAGAAAATATGGGTGCTTGTGTATTGTAGGTCTGTAATGGAGAAGCTTTTGAAGAAGAGTTGGCTTCTCTAGAAGTTGTATGAGGGTGAGTAAATGGTCCAGTAGTGTATAAAGAAGGGGATGGTGAAGTACACATGGAATGTAATCATAAGAGAGTATTGGAGTTTGGGAGGCAGTAGCTTCATAGCCTACTGTATCATGCATATTATCGTGGTTAACAAGAGTGTGTAGAGATAAATTAGAATCTGCATGATGGTGAGTAGAAGAAGTATCTTTTCCTGATTGGTCATTTTGGGTGGCTGAGTTAATAAGCAGATTACCAACTTGACGTGTCTGTGGATTGTTAACAAACGTTTGTGATTTATTAATAGAGTGAATATTTGTTTTAGTTGGCATGTTAACAAAGGAGGAATGAGTAGTATCAATTAAGGCAGGTGTATCATTATTATATGGCCCAATAGGCCAAATCGATTGACATTCCAAATAAGAAAGAGTAGCGGTGGGCTCATGGATACGAGCAGGTTGAAAATTAGCATTATCAATTTGTGTAGAGCTAGTCTCCATGTCCTCTGAGATTGGGTCAAATTGGTTAGGAGTTTGAATGGGTTGGATTGTTGAGTCAGAAGCACGAATTTGAGTTTGGGCCTGATTTTGCCCATTAGGGATAGAGAGCTTACCTGCTTCCTTTGGCATCTCATTGGGTTCTGCCGCCCTTGAGTACTTTAGGGTTGATGGAGCTTGTTATTGTAGTCGGTTGTTGTTTCTTTTTGGAAAAGAAACAGTTTGCCACTCAGCTGATTGATGATTGCTTGTAGGGTGGGGAATATAGTGAGTTGTAGAAGACGTTGAAGCAGACTGAGGCCTAGAAGATTTAGTAACGAGGGATGTGGGAAGTGGTTGTGTTTGAAAGGTACAATGGATTAAAGCATGACCAAATCTACCACATGCAGTACAAAGAACGTTAAGGCCTTCATATTGGATTGTTTGTTTGTGGTTGCCAATGTGGAGATGTGTCTTGAGAGGTTTTTCAAGAGGTACCTCAATGCAAATTCTTGCATACCTGCCCCTAGAAGTAGTTGTCGTGCATATATCAACCTTTAATAGTTTACCCAATTTCGCTCCCACTCGCTGAAGGATTTCCATATCATAAAACACAGTAGGTAGCTCAGGGAGACGTACCCATATAGCAGAATACGTTAGCTGAGTGTTGGATGCAATAAACTTAGCTTCCCATTGCCTCACAGATAGGAAATGGTTAAGGACAAACCAAGGACCTCCATGAAGGGCTGTTTGCAGATTCTCTTCTTTCTGGAACTTAATAAGGAAAAACTCAGATCCAAGATCAATTAGAAACATGTTTTCAGTAGGTTTCCATAGCGAAGTCAGTTTTTGTTTCAGCAGTAGATGGCCAATTTTTTTTCCAAACACTTTAACAATCACTGATGATTTCCAAGGTGTATATAATCGTGATTTATCATCAGTAGATAAAGGAATAAATAATTCTTCATCAACTTCTGTAGTGTTTGTTTCATCAGAGAAGTCAACATATTGTTGTTGAGGACGATGATTAGCAGTAATGGGAATTGAAGAGTTATTTGATAGCAGTGTTTGTAGAAAAGTTTTTTTATTGGCCTGGGGAAGATGGAGGGTCATCAATTTGCATATTTCCGATATCAAGGGGTTCATGGGAAGATTGGAAAGAAGTGTTAATTAAGCTATTTTCCATTTTTTGGTGTGTAGAGAACGTAAAAGAAGGTAAGGGAGTATTGTAGGAAAGAAGGTTTTTAGATAGAGAAGGTCTCAATTTAGCTATGCTAACGGAAGAGGAAAAGTTTTCAGATGAGATGGGTCTCACATCTCTCTAACTTTTTTTATTGTATGTTTGTTTTGCTACCGAAGTCATCATGATATCAATCTAATTAAGGTATTTATTTTATTTTTAATTATATTGTGAGACTATATTCTACATGAACTTAATAGTTGGGAAAGTTGACTCAGACATAATTTAGAAGGAGTAAAACTCGATAATTGATTTTATGGTACTTTTAAATCACTAAAACCCGATAATTGATTTTATGGTACTTTTAAGTCGCTGCATATAATGTCACAAACATGGTTAAGTCTATAGCAAATTGAAGGAAGTTTTTTGAATGCTATTGTACTGAAATATTTCGAGTTAGTAAGTCATGTTATATTGCTAATAGTGATATATGAATATTCATTTAAAATAATAAGATCATGCTTTTGTCAATGGTATACATTGATATAATAAGATCGTACTCATTTAAAACCCATCAATTTTTTATCATGCATTTGGCTATGCCAATGATACAAGGACTAGCTGTATAGGTTGGGATTGGTACAGAGTTTTATGACAAGAGAAAATAGTTTTACTAGAGAGGTTTTCTTTTGCAAAGAAAGGTTAGTTTGTTATAATTCTGAGATCCAAATTATGACCTTACTCATAATTCGTTAAATCAGCTCAAGATATATATAAGTTGTTTCCAGAGGAAACAATCAGGGCCATGTACATTCATTAATCTCTGGAAATACCCTGTATCACTAGCTTTTACAACAATAACATACCCAGTGTATTCTCACAAGTGAGCTTGGGGAAGTTAGTATGTACGCAGATCTTACCCCTACTTACCACTACATAGGGTAGGTTGTACTGATACTACACTTCTGCACATTGTATGCAGATGTTGGCTGCTGTGTTCGATGGGAGCTGGATTTGAAGATGTACCTACGTCCTCGTTGTAGCTGCCTCTTGTTCATGGCAACCGTAGATTTATAAAACTCTGTTTATGTACTTTTCAAACAGAAGGTGTATTTATTTCATATCAGTTTTGTAAACTATATTCTTAGAAGCTCATGATTTGTACTATTAGTCCTTGGGAAATGTATAAGATTTAGATAATTCCTTTATTTAGTTGCCTTTTTAATATTATTGAAATTGAATAGTTATTAATATTCATATGATTTGTACTACTAGTCCTTGGGAAATGTATAAGATTTAGATAATTCCTTTATTTAATTGCCTTTTTAATATTATTGAAATTGGATAGTTATTAATATTCATACTTCTATTTCTTGATTTGGGAAAATTTAATAGCTATTTATCTTTCAAGCTTTAATCTTTTATCATGGTCTAAGGTTAAGTATTCATCTCGTCCGTTCAACCATAACACAAAATACATAATAGTATATTTTAGAAAATATTAAAAGTAATGGTATTTATCCATCGTTTGGAATTTTTTTTTTTCATTTTGTCTTATTTTAGTTCAAATGTGGGAACGATTTGTTCACTAATTATGTATCAAATCTGTAATATAACTCGGAGCAAAAAGAACAGATTGTGTACTTTAAATTCGTAGCGGATATTGTTGTTGTTGCTACCAAAAGAATCTGCTCCAAGTCTCCTTTGATTTCACTAGGAAATCAAGGTTAAAGTTCACAAACTAAATGTCTTTTAGTGTGATGATATAATCTAGAAAGTCACGATTGCTTTTCCTTCTTTTCTGGTTTTTCCTTTTGTTTTCTACGTAATGTCTCTCGTGCTCTCTCTTTTGAAGTAGAAGACTTCCCTTTTTATTAGGAGAGGTTGAGCAGTTATCATATAACCGTTCCCTGTCCTTTTTAAAAAGGATTTGAATAGTTATAACTGTTCCCCCTCCTTTTAAGGATAAGGTTGAACAGTTATAACACAATTGTTCATCCTTTATTTAAAAAACCAGATAATCCTTTATTTACGGTCGGGTAAGATTGGATCGGGTCGGTTCACATGGGTGACCCACGATCCCAAAAACTTACATCTCCGACTTCGCATATGGTGGACAAGACCCAAGCCAATATTACATCAACTAGACACACAATTCATACGATAAATAGTTCGTGCGACCTGTGAGCATCAAGGCTTGCCTTCAACGTTTTTTAAGCCCTATATAGGAATTCAATCACGTATGGAAAGAATTCACTTTTAATATGAGGATATCAGTACTCACAATACCCCAGACTTCACTACTTCAGTAGTTACTCATTCGATCTCTCATCCTCTTTAAGAGGTGAACTCGAGTTCAAGTTTAACTTTGTATACAAAATTACACTCGACATCTATATGGTCAATGTAATAGCCGGCTTGTGTACACAAGTCAGATTATTTTAATTTAATCGTCTTCCTTTTCTACTCGAATCTATCTGTTCCAAATCAACTGCTTTCCTAGACATGCATTGCACTGCTGAATCATTCATGGCTATTAGTGACATGCTAAAGCAGCAACATTGATTGAAATTTCAAGAAACAGTAAAAGGTCAAAGGGTATTCCAATGAAAAGTATTTTAACTTTTCAGGGTCTCACACAATGAAAAAGCAGGGAACCATTCTTTCATTAACCCATTGGTCGCATAACACACGTGGTATGAAACACGTGCTACGATGTTCTCACCTTATCCTGGCGTATGTGTCTCATTTCTTTTAATTATCCAACATCGTACAGACCTTGGTCTAGACACCTCTTGATGTCTAACCCGAGTTTCTCTTTTCAGTGACCCTCAAACTCATTTTCTTAGAGAGACTCTTGTCTAGTTTATAAAACAAGTCATAGCATAACAGTTAAATTATCTCTTCACGTTCTCTGACGTAAGAGGCGATTGCTCGTGTGAGAGAGCCAATCTCGCGACTTGTCCGACCCATTTTATTTCTAAAACATTATCACATGCATATGAGAAATAAATTCAATAGTCTAACTTTAATGAGAATATCATAACAACAAAGTTGTTTTACAATACATAAATATCATCATTTCCTACGCAAACCTATAGCCTTAACATGTTTTTCAAACATGTCTCTAGATATGGCATTTGTAAAAGGATCAGCTATCATTTTGCGAGTAGGAATGTATTGTAAATTCACTTCTCCACTTGCTACTATGTCTCTCACAAAGTTATATTTGATATCAATGTGTTTGGTTTTGCTGTGATACTTAGGATCCTTTGTATATGTGATGGCTGCCTAACTGTCACAATATAAAGTCATGGGACCCTTAGAATTCTTTGCAACATTCAAATGCTCAAAGAATCTATTTTACCAAACAGCTTCTTGTGTTGCAGATGCACAAGCTACGAATTTAGATTCCATGGTTGAAAGAGCTGTGCAAGTTTGTTTCTTACTTATCCATGAAATAGCACCACCATTAAGTAAGAAAGTATAACCGTAGGTTGATTTTTCTATCATTCCGATCACCAGCCCAATCAGCATCTGTGTAACCTCTCAAGAGTAAATCAGATCCACTATAGCATAGTGAATAATCTACCGTTCCCTTCAGATATCAGAATATTCTCTTCACTGCCTTCCAAAGATCTCTTTCAAGATTAGATTGATACCTGCTTACAAGACCTAAGGCATATCAAATGTCTGGACGAGCACACATCATAGTGTACATCAGACTCCCGATAGCACTAGAATATGAAACTTGAGACATGTCTTCCTTTTCTTTTTCAGTCTTTGAACACATTTCAAGGATTAAAGTTTCACCTCTTGCTATTGGCATATCCATAGGCTTGCAACTATTCATTCGAAAGCGTTCCAAAATTTTCTTTATGTATGTTTCTTGAGATAGACTCAAAAACTTTTTTTTGGAACGATCTCTTTGAATTTTAACACCCAATATATAGTCTGCTTCACCCATATCTTTCATGTCAAATGACTTTGAAAGCCATGACTTAACAGTTTTTACATACTCCATATTATTTTCGGCTGATAAAGTGTCATCCACATAAAGAGAAAGAATTACAAACTTTCCATTGGACTTTTTCACATAGATGCAATGGTCTTCATCGATCATGGTGAAATCATATGAAATCACCTCCTTATGAAATCTCAGGTACCACTGCCTTGAAGATTGCTTTGGGCCATAAATTGATTTTTTTCAATTTACAAACTTTCTTTTCTTGGCCTTTAACAACGAAACCTACAGGTTGTTCCATGTAGATTTCCTCGTTTAGGTCTCCATTGAGAAAAGCGGTCTTCACATCCATTTGGTGTAATTCTAGATCTAAACGTGTAACAATAGCCAAAAGTAACCGTATAGAGGTAAACTTCACTAATGGTGAAAAAATTTTCTCATAATCTATTCCAGCTTCTCGAGTAAAACCTTTTGCCACCAATCGTGCTTTGTGTCTTTCTATTGAACCATCCGATTTGCGTTTAACTTTGAGAATCCATTTATTCCCAATAGCTCTACGTCCCTGAGAAAGGTCAACTAGATCCCAGACTTTATTTGTTTTCATGGACTCTAATTTTTCTTTCATCGCTTTTAACCACTCATCCTTTTTAGCACTCGATCAAGCCTCTATCACAGAATTAGGTTCATCCAATTATGTCGGAGATACCAAGAAAACATAATCCTCAATCTCATAAGATCGTTTAGGTACACCTTTTCTTGTACTCTTATGTAATTGAAGTTCATATTCCTCTATAAGATTTTGGGCTTCAAAACTCCCACTTGGACCAGGAACTATTTCTTGATCCATTGATCTATCAAGTATGTCTGACGACATTATCTGATTTTCTGAATTCAACATTTCGTAGAGAGGTTCACCTTCATTTATTTCACTCTTTTTGAGAAAATCATTTTCCAAAGATCTGACATCTC